GGGATGAATTACTATAGGGGGGATGAAATTACTATAGGGGGGATGAATTACTATAGGGGGGATGAATTACTATATGGGGGATTAATTACTATGCTTACTATGGGGGAATATTACTATACTTACTATGGATGACACATACACATCATTCACCTACTCTTGGTCCGGCCCCCGGGTCCAATATATGAACCCATTGCGGCCCTCAAGTTAAAAAGTTTGCCCACCCCTGCTCTAGAGGGATATGCTTTGTTTATATTTCATGTCTGAAGTTTACAACCACTGTAAGAGGAAATGGAGTCATAGGATGGGGGGGGGGGGGGGGATTATTAGGAAATAGTATAATAGGACAGACTGGAGGAGGGGATAGAGGGGCATCATTAGGGAATGGAGGGGTAATAGTATAGACTAGTGGTGGTGGAGGGTTATAATAGGGAATGGAGGGGTAATAGGACAGACTGGGGGGGTCAGTATTAGGGAATGGAGGGGTATTAGGACAGACTGGGGGGGGTCAGTATTACGGAATGGAGGGGTAATAGGACAGACTAGGGGTGGGGGTCAGTATTAGGGAATGGAGGGGTAATAGGACAGTCTGGGGGGGGGGGGTGGGATCAGTATTAGGGAATGGAGGGTAACAGGACAGACTAGGGGTGGGGGTCAGTATTAGGGAATGGAGGGGTAATAGGACAGACTAGGGGGTGGGGGTCAGTATTAGGGAATGGAGGGGTAATAGGAGAGACTGGGGGGGGGGGGGGGGTGGGATCAGTATTGGGGAATGGAGGGGGGGTAATAGGACAGACTGGGGTGGGGGGGGGGGTGGGATCAGTATTAGGGAATGGAGGGGTAATAGGACAGACTGGGGGTGGGGGTCAGTATTAGGGAATGGAGTGGTAGTAGGACAGACTGGGGGGGTGGGGGGTGGGGTAAGTATTAGGGAATGGAGGGGTAATAGGACAGACTGGGGGAGGGGGGTCAGTATTAGGGAATGGAGGGGTAATAGGACAGCCTGGGGGTGGGGTTAGTATTAGGAAATGGAGAGGTGATAGGACAGACTGGGGGGTGGGATCAGTATTAGGGAACGGAGGGGTGATAGAGCAGAATGGGGGGGGGGGGTCAGTATTAGGGAAGGAAGGGGTAATAGGACAGACTGGGGGGGTGGGGTCAGTATTAGAGAATGGAGGGGTAATCGGACAGACTGGGGGGGGTGGGGGTCAGTATTCGGTAATGGAGGGGTAATCGGACAGACTGGGGGGGTGGGGTCAGCATTAGGGAATGGAGGGGTAATATAGGACAGTCTGGGGTGGGGGTTAGTATTAGGGAATGGAGGGGTAATAGGACAGACTGGGGGTGGGGTCAGTATTAGGGAATGGAGGGGTAATAGGACAGACTGGGGGTGGGGGGTCAGTATTAGGGAATGGAGGGGTAATAGGACAGACTGGGGGGTGGGGTCAGAATTAGGGAATGGAGGGGTAATAGGACAGACTAGGGGTGGGGTCAGTATTAGGGAATGGAGGGGTAATAGGACAGACTAGGGGTGGGGGTCAGTATTAGGGAATGGAGGGGTAATAGGAGAGACTGGGGGGGGGGGGGGGGGGGGGGTGGGATCTGTATTGGGGAATGGAGGGGTAATAGGACAGACTGGGGGGGGGGGTGGATCAGTATTAGGAATGGAATGGAGGGGTAATAGGACAGACTGGGGGGTGGCGGTCAGTATTAGGGAATGGAGTGGTAGTAGGACAGACTGGGGGTGGGGGGTGGGGTAAGTATTAGGGAATGGAGGGGTAATAGGACAGACTGGGGGTGGGGGTCAGTATTAGGGAATGGAGTGGTAGTAGGACAGACTGGGGGAGGGGGTCAGTATTAGGGAATGGAGGGGTAATAGGACAGACTGGGGGAGGGGGTCAGTATTAGGGAATGGAGGGGTAATAGGACAGCCTGGGGGGTGGGGTTAGTATTAGGGAATGGAGGGGTGATAGGACAGACTGGGGGGGTGGGATCAGTATTAGGGAACGGAGGGGTGATAGGACAGACTGGGGGTGGGGTCAGTATTAGAGAATGAGGGGTAATAGGACAGACTGGGGGGGGTGGGGTCAGTATTAGGGAACGGAGGGGTAATAGGGCAGAATGGGGGGGGGGGGGGGTCAGTTATTAGGGAAGGAAGGGGTAATAGGACAGACTGGGGGGGGGTGGGGTCAGTATTAGAGAATGGAGGGGTAATCGGACAGACTGGGGGGGTGGGGTCAGTATTCGGTAATGGAGGAGTAATAGGACAGTCTGAGGGTGGGGTCAGCATTAGGGAATGGAGGGGTAATAGGACAGTCTGGGGTGGGGTCAGTATTAGGGAATGGAGGGGTAATAGGACAGACTGGGGGTGGGGTCAGTATTAGGGAATGGAGGGGTAATAGGACAGACTGGGGTGGGGGTCAGTATTAGGGAATGGAGGGGTAATAGGACAGACTGGGGGTGGGGTCAGTATTAGGGAATGGAGGGTAATAGGACAGACTGGGGGTGGGTCAGTATTAGGGAATGGAGGGGTAATAGGGACAGACTTGGGGTGGGGTCAGTATTAGGGAATGGAGGGGTGATAAGACAGACTGGGGGGGTGGGGTCAGTATTAGAGACTGAGGGGTAATAGGACACACTGGGGGTGGGGTCAGTATTAGGGAGCGGAGAGGTAATCGGACAGACTGGGGTTGGGGTCAGTATTAGGCAACAGAGGGGTAATAGGACAGACTGGGGGGGTGGGGTCAGTATTAGAGAATGGAGGGGTAATCGGACAGACTGGGGGTGGGGTCAGTATTCGGTAATGGAGGAGTAATAGGACAGTCTGAGGGTGGGGTCAGCATTAGGGAATGGAGGGGTAATAGGACAGTCTGGGGGAGGGGGCAGTATTAGGGAATAGAGGGGCAATAGGACAGACTTTGGGGGTGGGGTTAGTATTAAGGAAGGGAGGTGTAATAGGACAGTCTGGGGGGAGGGGGTCAGCATTAGGGAATGGAGGGGTAATAGGACAGTCTGGGGTGGTGGGGTTAGTATTAGGGAATGGAGGGGTAATAGGACAGACTGGGGTGGGGGTCAGTATTAGGAAATGGAGGGGTAATAGGACAGACTGGGGGTGGGGTCAGTATTAGGGAAGAGAGGGGTAATAGGACAGACTGGGGGTGGGGGTCAGTATTAGGGAATGGAGGGGTAATAGGACAGACTGGGGGTGGGGTCAGTATTAGGGAATGGAGGGGTAATCGGACAGACTGGGGGGGGGGGTCAGCATTAGGGAATGGAGGGGTAATCGGACAGACTGGGGGAGGGGGGTCAGCATTAGGGAATGGAGGGGTAATAGGACAGTCTGGGGTGGGGGGTTAGTATTAGGGAATGGAGGGGTAATAGGACAGACTGGGGTGGGGGTCAGTATTAGGAAATGGAGTGGGGTAATAGGACAGACTGGGGGTGGGGTCAGTATTAGGGAAGAGAGGGGTAATAGGACAGACTGGGGGTGGGGTCAGTATTAGGGAATGGAGGGGTAATAGGACAGACTGGGGGTGGGGTCAGTATTAGGGAATGGAGGGGTAATAGGACAGACTGGGGGTGGGGTAAGTATTAGGGAATGGAGGGTGATAAGACAGACTGGGGGTGGGGTCAGTATTAGAGAGAATGAGGGGTAATAGGACACATTGGGGGTGGGGTCAGTATTAGGGAGCGGAGAGGTAATCGGACAGACTGGGGTTGGGGGGTCAGTATTAGGCAATAGAGGGGTAATAAGACAGACTGGGGGGGGGTGGGTCAGTATTAGAGAATGGAGGGGTAATCGGACAGACTGGGGGGGTGGGGTCAGTATTAGAGAATGGAGGGGTAATCGGACAGACTGGGGGGGTGGGGTCAGTATTCGGTAATGGAGGAGTAATAGGACAGTCTGGGGGAGGGGGGAAGTATTAGGGAATGGAGGGGCAATAGGACAGACTTTGAGGGTGGGGGTTAGTATTAAGGAAGGGAGGGGTAATAGGACAGTCTGGGGAAGGGGGTCAGCATTAGGGAATGGAGGGTAATAGGACAGTCTGGGGTGGTGGGGTTAGTATTAAGGAATGGAGGGGTAATAGGAAAGACTGGGGGTGGGGGTCAGTATTAGGGAATGGAGGGGTAATAGGACAGACTGGGGGTGGGGTCAGTATTAGGGAAGGGAGGGGTAATAGGACAGTCTGGGGTGGTGGGGTTAGTATTAAGGAATGGAGGGGTAATAGGACAGTCTGGGGTGGGGGTCAGTATTAGGAAATGGAGGGGTAATAGGACAGACTGGGGGGTGGGGTCAGTATTACGGAATGGAGGGGTAATAGGACAGACTGGTGGTGAGGTATTAGAATGGTATCTTCCTCTGGCCCCCCGTGGAGAAGTTCTGGCGTCACTAGGAAGTGGGGGAGGGGGTACAGTGTGGTATATAACAAATGTAACTCCCCACACTCTACCCCGGTGTGTATTGGATGTGTGGGGAGGATTGGTGCTTTGGTTGGAATTCCTATAAGCCCGACACTGTATATCTTGTAGATTGAGCCGGCCCTCCACCATAGAACTGCACCAATCACTTTTACTGCAGAACAGAGTAGTACATCACAAGTGCAGCCTGCTTACGTGTTTCTTCCTGCGAAGGGCCTTAATCATAGCTGGTGATAGCTATGATTAAGGCTGTTTTCAGGCAGAAACATGTAAGTGGACAGCACATGTGACGTTTTACCTGTTTAGCAATAAAGTGTTCTGTACGGTTCCATGGTGGAGTTCCAGCTTATCCTACAGGATCCAGTGTGGTAGATAACCTGTCCAGTCTAGTGTATTATTGATCTCGGTATGATGTGTTTGGGGAGCGGTTATCTCTGTCTTGGGGGGGGGGGGGGTGGCCATTTTCCCCCATTACATGTGCAGGTTCAGTTTCCTCCTCTGTGTTAGCTCTGTACTGATCCCCTTGGCGGGGTCGGACGGCCTCACTCTCACACACCTCATTGTCTCTCCTTTTCAGGTTCACCATGGCTGCCAAGATGGACGACGAGCAGGCTTTATTCTCCTGTATGCAGGAATTCCGGAGCCGCTTCGTCAGTCAGAGCAACGAGGAGAAATCCATCCAGGAGGAGAGGGATGTGTACAAGGAGTCTCTGAAGGAGCTCTCAGGTGATCCGTCTGCTCCCACCCCCTCTCCAACGGCCGTCCATCCACCCAGGTCTTTCCCTGTGGTGACCTATCCAGCTAAGTGGAGTGAAACAATAAATGTGGATTGTGAAGGGATCGCTCTGCCTACCCAGCAAGATGTTGGACATGGCCCAGTGCTGATGGGATCGGTGGATTCATTCACATGAGCTGTACACACACAGGATCAGAATAGGAAGCTTATTACAGTATCTCCCAGAAGTAAGTCCATCCCTCACATTTCTGTCAATATTTGATTCTCTCTTTTCATGTGACAACACTGAAGAAATTACACTTTGCTACAATGTGACGTAGTCAGTGTACAGCTTGTATAACATGTAAATTTGCTGTCCCCTCACACACCGCCATTAATGTCTAAACCGCTGGCAACAAAAGTGAGTCCACCCCTAAGTGACAAGGTCCAAATTGGGCCCAATTAGCCATTTTCCCTCCACGGTGTCATGTGACTCGTTTGTTACAAGGTCTCTCATACTGGTCACTGGAAGTTCAACATGGCACCTCATGGCAAAGAACTCTGAGGATCTGAAAAAAAAAGAATTGCTGCTCCACATAAAGATGGCCTAGGCTATAAGAAGATTGCCAAGACCCTGAAACTGAGCTGCAGCATGGTGGCCAAGACCATACAGCGGTTTAACAGGACAGGTTCCACTCAGGACAGGCCTTGCCATGGTCAACCAAAGAAGTTGAGTGCACGTGCTCAGCGTCATATCCAGAGGTTGTCTTTGGGAAATAGACGTATGAGTGCTGCCAGCATTGCTGCAGAGGGTGAAGGGGTGGGGTGGGGGTCAGCCTGTCAGTGCTCAGACCATACGCCACACACTGCATCAAATTGGTCTGCATGGCTGTTGTCCCAGAAGGAAGCCTCTTCTAAAGATGATGCACAAGAAAGCCAGAAACAGTTTGCTGAAGACAAGCAGACTAAGGACATGGATTACTGGAACCATGTCCTGTGGTTTGATGACAACAAGATCAACTGATTTGGTCCAGATGGTGTCAAGCGTGTGTGGCGGCAGCCAGGTGAGGAGTACAAAGACAAGTGTGTCTTGCCTACAGTGAAGCATGGTGGTGGGGATGTCATGGTCTGGGGCTGCATGAGTGCTGCCACCACTGGGGGGGCTACAGTTCATTGAGGGAACCATGAATGACAACATGTACTGTGCCATACTGAAGCAGAGCATGATCCCCTCCCTTCGGAGACTGGGCCGCAAGACCGTATTCCAACATAATGACCCCAAACACACCTCCAAGACGACCACTGCCTTGCTAAAGAAGCTGAGGGTGAAGGTGATGGACTGGCCAAGCATGTCTCCAGACCTAAACCCTATTGAGCATCTGTGGGGCATCCTCAAATGGAAGGTGGAGGAGCGCAAGGTCTCTAGCATCCACCAGCTCCGTGATGGAGGAGTGGAAGAGGACTGCAGTGGCAACCTGTGAAGCTCTGGTGACCTCCATGCCCAAGAGGGTTAAGGCAGAGCTGGAAAATAATGGCGGACACACACAAAATATTGACACTTTGGGCCCAATTTGGACCTTGTCACTTAGGGGTGGACTCACATTTGTTGCCAGCGGTTTAGACATTAATGGCGGTGTGTTGAGTTATTTTGAGGGGGAGAGCAAATTTAGGGATGCACCGAAACATTTTGCCGATAGGAAAAATTTAGCTGATACAGGAGACTGTGTGTACTGCAGTTGTGAGGGGGGGTGGACGGCGGAGAAAGGCAGGAGAGGAGCAGAGCGTATACAGTGACTGGATGTCACTATATGTCAGTGCCAGTTTTAAAATATAATTACCAGCTTTTTTTTTTTTTTTCTTCACTATAGCTCAGAGAATCAGCTGTCGCCTTCCCCCAGCTAAAAGAAACAAAGTTTCCTTCTAGTTTCTTTCCGCAAATTAAATAAACAATGTTTCCTTTTAGTTTGTTTTGAGTTAAAAGAAACAATGTTTCCCTTTAGTTTCTTTCCTGAGATAAAAGAAACAGTTTCCTTTAGCTCTGGGGAAAGTGACAGCTAATTCTGCGAGCTAGAAAAAAAAAAAAAAGCTGGAAATTGCATTTAAAAATCGGCACTGACATATAGTGACAGCCAGTGAGGGTTTGGCAGGAGAATTTTCATTTCAATGCACCACTAACAAATGTGTACTGTTATACAAGCTGTACACTGACTACGTCACATTGTAGCAAAGTGTCATTTCTTCAGTGTTGTCACATGAAAATATAGAATCAAATATTTACACAAATGTGAGGGGTGGGCTCACTTCTGGGAGATGCTGTATGTGAATGGCTCTGATCAGTGATCAGATCTCTTCTATTCCTTGTCTGAAAAGTGCAAGATCAAAAAAATGAACCCAAACTGCTCATGGCAACGTTCATTCAAAACTATACAAAGCAGCTGGCAGGAAAATGAATTAATTAGAACAGGGGTCTCCAAACTGTGGCCCCTTGGGCTGTATCTGGCATTCTACAAGATTTGCACAGATTGAGGATTCAGGTGAGCAGAGGCTGCCTATGGTCTCCTCTTCTACTGTCTGACCTCGCCCCCCCTGCAGTCTCCAGTGGAGGTTCCCCGGCTGGGTTGTCATCATTATAGAGGGCGCACCAGCCTAGAGCATTACCTTCGTATACACTTTATTAATAAAAGCAAGTAATAAACTCACAAACACACGGGGGGTTGATTTACTAAACCTGCAGGGTGCAAAATCTGGTGCAGCTCTGCATAGAAACTAATCAGCTTCCAGGTTTTATTTTCAAAGCTTAATTGAACAAGCTGAAGCTAGAAGCTGATTGGTTACCGCAGCTGCATCAGATTCTGAGTGCTCCAGTTTTAGTAACTCCCCTCCATAGTGTCAACAGCACGGGAAGACCCTTCAGCGTCCAATATGGCTAATGCATTTCGAGGGGCAGCCCCTCTTCCTCAGAGCCAAAAGTCATTAATCTTTTGGCTCTGAGGAAGAGGAGCTGCCCCTCGAAACACATTGTAGTCAACCCTGATGGAGACCCTGATGTTGGGTGGACTGATTGGGGCCCTGACGTAGGGGGAATCTGATGGGGTCCCTGACGCAGGGGGAATCTGATGGGGGCCCTGACGCAGGGGATATCTGATGGGGGCCCTGACGCAGGGGATATCTGATGGGGGCCCTGACGCAGGGGATATCTGATGGGGGCCCTGATGCAGGGGATATCTGATGGGGGCCCTGACGCAGGGGATATCTGATGGGGGCCCTGACGCAGGGGATATCTGATGGGGGCCCTGACGCAGGGGATATCTGATGGGGGCCCTGACGCAGGGGATATCTGATGGGGGCCCTGACGCAGGGGATATCTGATGGGGGCCCTGACGCAGGGGATATCTGATGGGGGCCCTGACGCAGGGGATATCTGATGGGGGCCCTGACGCAGGGGATATCTGATGGGGGCCCTGACGCAGGGGATATCTGATGGGGGGGCCCTGACGCAGGGGATATCTGATGGGGGGGCCCTGACGCAGGGGATATCTGATGGGGGGGCCCTGACGCAGGGGATATCTGATGGGGGGGGCCCTGACGCAGGGGATATCTGATGGGGGGCCCTGACGCAGGGGATATCTGATGGGGGGCCCTGACGCAGGGGATATCTGATGGGGGGCCCTGACGCAGGGGATATCTGACGGGGGGCCCTGACGCAGGGGATATCTGACGGGGGGCCCTGACGCAGGGGGGAATCTGACGGGGGGCCCTGACGCAGGGGGGAATCTGACGGGGGGGCCCTGACGCAGGGGGGAATCTGACGGGGGGGCCCTGACGCAGGGGGGAATCTGACGGGGGGGCCCTGACGCAGGGGGGAATCTGACGGGGGGGCCCTGACGCAGGGGGGAATCTGACGGGGGGGCCCTGACGCAGGGGGGAATCTGACGGGGGGGCCCTGACGCAGGGGGGAATCTGACGGGGGGGCCCTGACGCAGGGGGGAATCTGACGGGGAGGACACATTTATTTTATATAAATGACTTTATCTTTGACCCCTGAATATGTAAAAAATTTACGATGTGACGTTTCTTCTGAAAAGTTTGAAGCCCCCTGATTTAGAAGATGATGCTTGGAAAGTGTGCAGCACCTACCACTGTTTTTCTCCTGGGCACTTTCTATGTATCATCTTCTAAATAATGAATTTTGGTAATTTACTGTTTTTAAGCCGTAAAGAAGGCAGGGAAAGTTTTGTACCACCCAAAACGCGCTAGTGCGAATTAACATCCGTGTTAAAGTGACACTAAACAATATCCTTTTTGTCATGAAATTGTTCCTTACTATGTTTTTCTGCCTCCTTGTTACATGCTCCGTGAGCTCCCAATCCTCTCCTTTTACTCCTCACCCCCTCAGGAAGTCAGATCGTAGAGACAAAAAAGGGAATTTGCAGATTTTGGTGAGGCTGAGAGGAAAAGGAACTTTTTAAAGTTAGGAATGCATATTTGAATAGAATATATGGCTGCAGCAGCTTGAAAAGAGCACAGACATAGCCCAGTGGAAAATTCAGAGACAAAAAATACACGGTGATGAGCTGGGCGGGGGTGAGTGTTGAAGTGTCAGCAGTAGGAAGAGAAACGGCAGCACACTGATCTTCCAGTGAGGAGATGTGGAGGGGGGGGGGTGTCAGCAGAAGTCTGAACATTGGTGTACAGGCGGACTGGGCGTAAAATGCAAAGAAGCAAACTGACCACACTGGGATGGATGTGCTTCAAAGGCCTGGTGTGGTCAGTTTGAATTAGGAAAGCAGGGGGACCGGCAAGATCACCAGGTTTTTCACATGGAAGCAAAGCAAAAGAGAATGCTTGTATTATTAAAATCCCTTTTAACCTCTTGCTACTCACGTAATGCATATGTACGGCCACTATGAGGGTGGGCTTTAAAACCCACATGCCGCACATACTTAAAAAACCCTCCCTGGATCCCACCGACCTAAAAAACCTTAGACCCATCTCCCTGCTGCCATTCTCATCCAAACTCTTTGAGCGCTTAGCCTATAATCGCCTAAGCTCCCACCTCACCGACAACAACCTCCTTGACCCCCTACAATCTGGCTTCCGTCCCCTACACTCCACCGAAACCGCCCTACTCAAAATCACTAATGACCTGCTAACCGCCAAAGCCAATGGCCACTACTCAGTGCTCCTACTCCTCGACCTCTACACGGCTTTCGACACAATCGATCACCCCCTCCTCCTCAAAAAACTGTACTCTTTTGGCGTCAGAGACTCTGCTCTCTCCTGGCTCTCTTCCTATCTATCACAACGCTCCTTCAGTGTTACCTATAACGCTGCCACCTTTCCCTCACTCCCCCTCTCTGTTGGGGTCCCTCAAGGTTCTGTCCTCGGGCCCCTTCTCTTCTCCATCTACACCTTCTCCCTTGGCCAACTGATACACTCCCAGGGCTTCAACTACCATCTCTATGCTGATGACACTCAAATTTATCTCTCTACCCCCCACCTCACCCCTTCAGTCTCCGCCCGAATCACCTGCCTACTGAACGACGTGTCGGATTGGATGTCACTCCACTTCCTCAAATTAAACCTTGCCAAAACCGAGCTCCTAGTTCCCCCCCACCCCCGACCTCTCCATCACGACCAACAAGGCCACCATCAGCCCCACCCTGCAAGCCAGAGTACTAGGTGTCATTCTAGACTCCAATCTATCTTTCCAGCCCCAGATCCATTCGCTGACAAATTCATGCAGACTCCACCTCTGCAACATCTCCAAAATATGCCCGTTCCTAACTCCTGAAACTAAAAAGCAGCTCATTCACTCCCTCATCATATCACGACTCGACTACTGCAACTCCCTCCTCACCAGCCTACCCCAACACAGGCTATCCCCGCTTCAGTCTATCCTGAATTCTGCGGCCAGACTCATCTACCTTACCAACCGCTCCGTATCCGCCACCCCCCTCTGCCAATCCCTCCACTGGCTTCCGATTGCCCAACGCATAAAATTCAAAATATTAACATTGATGTACAAAGCCATTCATAACGCTGCCCCAAACTACATCACCAACCTGATATCCATCTACCACCCAAAACGTACTCTCCGCTCCTCACAAGACCTCCTTCTCTCTAGTTCCCTGGTCTCCTCCTCCCATGCCCATCTCAAGGACTTCTCCAGGGCTTCCCCCATCCTCTGGAACTCACTACCCCAATCCATCAGACTGTCACCTTCCCTCCTCACCTTTAGGCGCACCCTGAAAACCCATCTCTTCAGAGAAGCCTACCCCTTACTCACTTAACAGCCGATCTCCTCCACCCCCCACAGCCACTTCCTCCTGTACCACTATCCCCTCCCTCCTAGATTGTAAGCTCCAAGGAGCAGGGCCCTCGAACCCTCATGTATCGCATTGTTACTGTACTGTCTCGTGTACTGACTCCCACTATAATGTACAGCGCTGAGCAAACCGTTGGCGCTATATAAATCCTGTATAATAATATGTCCATGTTGTGCCCATTGTCCAAGCTATCAAAGACCGCTCCCAGTCTGTACTAATGATCAGGAGTCAGCAGGACCAGCTCCTAATCATGTGACTGCCAATCACAGTGGTGATTGGCCGATTCTCCAACTCAATCTCCTCCCGGGTCGGGCATACAGATCATAGAGATGCTGGGGCTGGGTGGGAGGGGTTAATACAAGTACATGATAACACATCAGAAATATGCAGAGTTCGGGTAACATACCATTTAATTATCATTCTTTCTCTTTACTTTGCAGACGTTTGGGCTAGAAAATACAGAGAAGGCGAGCTGATGTTTGAGAAGGCTCTGGAGCTCAGAAAAGGTGAGCCAATGGACTTTGTCGGGCTTCTAGCAGGAAGAGTGGCAGAATATGGTCATTTCTGAAAGCTGAAAATTGGCCTGGGCAGGTAGGGGGTAAAAGTGCCCGGTATTGAAGTGGTTAAAGTGAATTTTCACCCTCCATTGCATGATCCCTGCTCCCCTCCTTTTTGGTCTTCTTTTTTTTTTTTTTTTTTTTTTTTTAAATGTCCTTGTATGTCATTCGTCTAGGCTCCCTATGCCTCCTGGGATATGCACATCACACATCCCAGGAGGCAAAGGCTATCATTCACTAAAAGAGGAGAGGGCGGGCCTAGCAGCACATCATTGGGAGGTGTGCTGACTGAACCCAGAACTGGAGCGGGGGAGGGGGGGGACGATTCACACTGTATGTGTCTATGGATGCAAACAGCCCAGCTTGGGAGCATGCCTGCATGGAGGTTGTTCCTTAGCATACAGCTTGCTGAATAGGTGGAGAGAGATGGCGGGGGACTCCAGAAAGTAACCACCCATCACACAGAGCAGGTAAGTATACCATATTTTTATTTTAACCACTTCCTATCCGGCCCATGTATATAAATGGCCGGATGGGAGCAGTGCAGGGGCAGGTTGCTGTTCATAAACTGTACCCGCCATTTTAGCCTGTGTGCGCTCCCTGGGAGCGCGTGGCACTGAGATCCTGTGCCCCCACTGTGTCAGGAGGACACAGCGGAACAGCGATCGCTGTACGGGATCTCTGTGTGAGGTCCTGATCATGTGATCACTGATTAGCCAATTGGTGATCAATTAATAGTAATAAGCAAGATGTCACTTGCTGACATCATTGCTTACTACATGTGAAATCTGTGAATAATCAAGGAGATCACATGGTACAGGGCTATTTACAACAGCTTTGTACCATGTGACAAGCTGTGACCAATCACAGTTCACACAGTATTTCTCAAGAATGCAGCCAGAGAGAAGGAGAAATTATTTCTTTTACAGCCTTTATGGGTGTAAAAGCAATCGATGTAAAAAAAAAAAAAAAATCTTCATTTTCACCCCCCCCAAGTAGTACAGTGTCACTATGGTGACACCGCACTGCTAGAGTGACAGTATGTAAAAAAAAAAAAAAAAAAACATAATAAAAATGTAAAAAAATTGTTTGAAAAATTATAATTTTTGGTTATAAACTAATTTGGGCTATTTTTTTTTTTTTTTTTTTTTACTAAAAAGATAGCTGAATAAATTTTGGCCAAGATTTATGAAGATTTATTTATTTGCAAAATTTTATAAGAAAAAACACTTTTTTTTAAAAAAATTTTTGGACTTTTTTTCATTTTATATAGCAAAAAAAAATAAAAATCCCAGCGGTGAATAAATACCACTAAAAGTTTTATCTGTCTCAAAAAAAAATGCTAAAAAATTCATATGGGTACAGTGTTGCATGACCGCGCAATTGTCATTCAAAGTGCGACAGCGCTGAAAGCTAAAGATTGGCCTGGACAGGAAGGGGGTGGAAGTGTCTGGACTTGAAGCGGTTAATTAAAAAAAAATAAAAGCTTTACAGTCACTTTAATGATGGAAATCCTGCTGTGAGATGAAATGTGTTCTTATTCCTGTACGTAGATGTGGATCGGCAGAACAAGCGCATCGAGGAGAAGCAGGAGGACATCCTGCGGGAGGTGGCCAAGCTGAAGGACAATGAGAAGCAGGGTGAAGATCTGGCTATGCACATCCAGACGTTCCGGGAAGAGCTGAACAAGAAGAAGGACTGTAGGTTCTATGCTGGAGCTCAGTGAGCTCAGGGTTGGGGTCTCAATACCAGATGCATGTACGTGTTCCCGAATGCACACATTGGGACCAGCAGCTGCTTCATCCCAATGGACATGAATGGGAATGCACTTGGATGCATGGAACACTTGTGCATACTATGTGGGCAAAAGATGGCCCTTCACCACAGGTGTAGGCATAGGTACACCCATACGATCGAGGCCTTGAAGTCTGTAGCTCCTTATGTACAGCAGTAACATTAAGCAGGCCAAACGTGGGTCGAATTCCGAACGATTTTTTCGAGCGACAATCGTTTTGTAATCCGATGGTGCCACCAATGATTTAGAAAATCGGTCGTTTTTTCACACATTTTCCAGCATGACCAATAAACGAAATGAGGAGGAACCACGAAAATCGGCCGGTGCCATTGTTCCACTAACAAAACGAAAATCGGCCGATTTTATTCTTGGGTCTGATTTTCAAACGAATGTATGTATGGCCTAACATTGCACCGCGATCCACTGATTTGTTTATTTTCTTTGACCACTCCAGCAGCCGAACATTTTACCCCATTCATGACCAGGTGGTTTTTTGTTTTTTTTTTTGCTATTCTGCACTGCAATACTTTAACAGGCAATTGCGCGGGCGTGCAACGCTGTATACAAAGGAAATTTCTATAATTTGTTTTGCACAAATAGTGCTTTCTTTTGGCAGTATTTGATCACCACTGAGTTTTTTTTTTTTATTATTATATATAACTGCTTACAGAATGTTAAAAAAAGAGAAATAAAATAATTTTTTATTCATAATTTAATTTTTTTTTTTTTATTTTGTTTTAATTAATTTTTTAAGACTTTCATCTGAGTAGTTCGAGTAACATTGTACTACTCTTGGGGGGTGATCGGGGGATTTTTTTTTTTTTTTTTTTTTTTTTTTTTTGCACTTGATTGTTTGCACTTTGATTGTTGGTCATGAATTGGTTACATTCATGATAGTTCAGAATACTAGTGATCTGTGATTGGCTATAGCTAATCACATGGCACAGGGTGCTGTGCCACCTGCCTACATTAAAAGTGCTGTGGGCAGTCGGCACGAGGTTAACATATACAGTGTGTGTGTATGTTATATATATATATATATATATATATATTTATTTTAAAATTTTCATTCTTTTTTATTTTATTGCAAGTTTGATATTTTTTAAGTTTAGTGGAGTGAGTCCTTGGCTGCAGTTCATATTTGAGGCAGGTACAAAGGATCGTTCAGACTCCTAATAGGATTTCCAT